GTCCCAAGACTGCGTCTCTCCTCGTGTACTCGCCAAGACCATCTAAAACAACTTTATTCACTTTCAAAACCTTAACCAATTACAAAGCAGTAAAAAGACTCTAGGGCGTAACCTTCAATCATAAAGCCAATCACACTATTAAAGTACTGGACACGTCATATCTTTTGATTAATCGTTCACTACATTAGTAACTGCGAATACCAAACTTCAGAAATAGTAGTCCGAATAGCGACGGTTATATCGTAATTAGTTCCAAATCACTGAACCATGTTCCGCCCAGAACCTCGCATGGGCCTAAATGATGACAGACATAACACAGCCATTCGCTAGTAATTAGCTAATTAAGTCGATTAACAGATACGTGCAAACAAATTCATCATACATAATTCAATGTGTACAGTGATAAAGAAATGAATGTACTGATAAAAAACGCTTCTTTGCTCAAATGATTTGTTATTTGTTCATTTCGTCGTGATAGCATCATATTTCAATTGTATAACTTATGTTTGTGGTCAAAATGATTATTGTCGATATCTTCACGACTGGCCTGATTAATTTGATAATTTACTGTCGGCACCACTTCCAGAATTATTCATTTTTTTTTCTATAACTTCAATACTTTTAAATAAATACAATAAATTTGAATAAATATTTTCAAGTTCTTCATGCATATAGCGAGCCCAATTGCTTTGGTGATTCATATGTAGATACATTTGATGGTCATCTTTCTATTGTGTTCATTTCATGTCAGTTCTGTTGTTTAAGTATATTGTTGGGTAAAAAAAGAACTTATCTTCTTGGAGGGGAGGGGCAAGAGTTATTTTCGTTCAATGTAATTGCAATATTTTTGTGTTCGTACAACGTAAATTGAAAAAATAAGTTCCGTAATTCTGTAATCTCAGGCTAGACGTACAACGTAATCAATCAAATATTTTTTTCGTACACTGTAAAAATGTGTTATTTTTCTTGGTACGTACAAGAATTTACATCCAACTAAAAAAGTCGTAAAGAATAATCCAGGGAAATTACATTTTCGAAACTGTAAAACGACTAGATGACACAATGCACTGCAAAATTCAATTTTCACTGTAAACTGTAAAAACGTCTTTTTTTCCTTGTAAATTGTAAAAAGCCCTTTTTTATTTCCCGTAAAACTGTACCAGCTACCCCCTTGCCCCCCTCCCTTCTTGATTCATACTTCAACCAGTACCATATTGTTTGGTATTATTTGTCTAGTTGAATTATATTATATTGCAACAGATAAACAAAATGAATTGTAAATAACATACCAGTAATCAATGATAGTCAGATCATCTTTATTCAATATTTTTTTTTCCGAACAAGTATGTAAAGTCCACACTTGGGGCTGAAAATTAATAAATATTAATTTAAAAAAAAAATCTTCCTCTATACGTATATAAATAAAAACTAAAAAAAAATGAGTAACTCGATGTTACGGCACGCCTGATTGGCTGAAAATGAGTATGCGCACTTGATTTACCAAGAGCTCTGCGCGAATCCCCCTTTGATTCTGGCTGCTGGCCATTTTCGTTCATGAAATCGTCGAATATCATCAGAAAATGTGGGATTTGTGCAGTTTTGAATAAAACCAAGTTAGCGATTATGAACAATAGTTATTAAAGTAACACCCAATCTCCTCTTAACTTTTTGTTTCGCATTTTAAGGTAAGAAATCGAAATTTTAAACCGACAAGGTTTCCATGTTTCATAACTTGTTTATTTATATATGTATAGCGGAAGATTTTTTTTAAAAATTAGTATTTATTAATGTTCAGCCCCCAAGTGACTGTGGTAAAGTCTGGGCTTTGTTTCTGGGTCGATATAGGGTTATCGTATATTCACTATTTTTAATGGTTTTTTTGTCAGTTATGTATTTATTTTATTAATTAAAATTGGGAAATTTGCAAGTCATTGACAAATTATACTCCTTCAGTACTGGTGGTAAATAGTGGCCGAGTCCCTCCTGAATGTACCAATACCATTACAACAAGCAAATATTGCAGTGGGCGTGTTGGTAGTTCTATGTCAAGAAAACATGACCTCACCCAATGTTCAATGTTCAGTAATTGCCTGGTTCACAGAATCGAAGTTTTTAAGAGTATATGCATCCCCAAGTAGAGAGGACGTAGTGCGGGAAGGAGGGCCACTTTTTAGGACTACGTGCACGATGTTTTGGGCTCTACGTGTAATTGACCAATCGCTGCTAGTAAACTCAGTCAGACCATTGACACGCCCACTTTATGCCTCTTGTCAGCTTGGCGATATCGGTAGGTCATTGTTTGGGGGCGCTCTTCAAACGAGCAAATGTCAACAGCGTTGAAAATGGCGAAAGCAGAGGTGAGAGCTTTTTTGAGATTTTTTGGAGATTTTGATCGTTGTATGAGCAGATACTATTCTCTATTGATGCGCGTCTATGTTAGACATTGAGCTATCGTCTGTTTTCGCCGTATACCACAAGAAGCACCACACAAATCAACGGCGTATGGGCATCATGTGGGACATTAGCCCGGGACGTCAGCCATCGACGACGGCATCGATAATTTATTGAGACACGCTTTGCTGGTCGCCTGACACCCTGGCATTTTAACGAGCACGTATACGAGTATGCCTGTCGTGGCAGTCGTACTTCATGGAGTGTACGTGCCGTCTTCCGTGCCTGGCTTCAATGATGACTAAAGGTCAAATAATTAAGTCTATCACAAACACGTTGTGGCTTTGGCAAATAGTATCGGCCACGCGTAAAGCTATGCATGTATATAGATAGTTGTATTCAAGTAATAGTATTTTTGGATCACCCGTATATGGAGCGCGAGGCCAAACAGGTCAATAGTAGTTTTTCATTGTTCAGTCAATAACCTAGCAGTTGGTAAGTGAGGCATGAACTTTGACCTCGTAACACTGCTGGGTTTAGTTCATTCTAAAGAGTTATTTGCAAAATAAGAAATAATTTTGACAATTATCCATTTCAGAATCCTCAAAACAATCGGGGGTGACAAAAAAATAAGAACAAGATGCAACAAACCCATTCCCTTCATTTGTATAAATATGAATTTAATAATAATAATTTATAAATTTCATAATTCAAAGTGAAACGAGAGGGGTCTATTCACTGGTGGAATAAACTTGTTGATAAACATTGATTTTCCCACAATCCCATGTGTTCTTCTCATGGAAATTATCACGATTACGATTTTTGATTTGGACACAAGGTGTACTAATTACTGTCGATGACTCTTTTGATACCTTCCAATTACCATAGAAATTACATATTTAAAACTTGGTAACGTCTCAGTTTGTACTTATTGATCTGCGCAACCGTCAGTCACATCTTTGTTCATATGAGTCCCATATCTCGTGCATGCGTGGCACGATGACCACTGCCCTTTAGATGTTATCCAGCACTGTCTGCATCAACGTGAGAGTCAATCTAGTTATTCATTCTTTGCTTATCCATGAAATTACCACTTTTT